TAGTAGCACCGATGTCAATTTTACAATGCATTTTACTACAGTTACTTGCTAGGCCGCCATTACTCTGGCAAGAACATGCGTGGGCGCCGGCAGCGTCAAAAACATCAAAGGAGTGAGCCATCTATTCATTCCTTAATCTATGTCGCGGTGTCTATGGCGAAAAGCCAACTCAGGCTATACCTTCGTTGATTATCTGCTCGCCCTCGTTGTCTATAATTCTTAATCGAAAATAGAACGATTAACTCAATAAACTCATCAGGTTTATAACAAGACAAACCGTTGTATTTTTATTATATAGGAATTCTCATAATAGTATTGTTTACAGTAATCTAGAATAACAAATATAGACTGAACGAATTACTTTTTAATTTTAAAATATGCATTTAAACCAAGGAGGATTTCAGTTTGCAATATGTCACCATTGATCATGCCATTGAAGGTATAAAGCGTTTTGGCCAGGGCTGTTTCCTTGCAAAAACTGACATAGAATCGGCATTTCGACTGATTCCCATTCACCCCGATGATTATGAGCTACTGGGTATGTTTTGGCAGGGGAAATATTTTTATGACAAGGTCTTACCCTTTGGCCTTCGAAGCGCCCCATTTATTTTCAATCAACTTTCTGATGCGATAGAATGGATCTTGATTAACAAATGTCACATTTCTTTTGTATGCCACATTTTAGATGATTTCTTAGTCATTGAACCTAAGTCGGAACTTTTCTCTCCCGAGAGTCCCTGTCAGCAAAGCCTTGCTGCAATGCTGCTTACTTTCAATAACCTGAACATCCCAATTGCCCCGAGTAAAACTCAAGGTCCCCTACAGGTACTTGACTTTATGGTATAACATTAGACACCCTGAAAAAATTGAGCGATTGAAGGAACTTTTTGGACAATTTGAAAACAGACGTTCTTGTACTTTAAAACAATTACAATCCCTAATTGGTACATTGAACTTTGCATGCAAGGTTGTCCCACCAGGTAGGCCCTTCTTACAGCGCATGATTGATTTAACCCGAAATGTTAAGAAGCCCCACCACCACATAAAACTGAATACCGGGTTCTTTAAAGATCTGGAGATGTGGAAACAATTTGTAATAAATTGGAATGGAGCTAACTTTTTCCTTTCATCCACCTGGCAAGATTCAGATTGCCTGCAACTCCATACAGATGCATCAGGAGCACTAGGGTATGGGGGTATATTTGAGTATAGATGGTTCCAGGGCACATGGCAACCCCACCAACAACTAGGAACACCAGGAATTAGTATTGCTTGGCAAGAGCTTTTCGCCATTATAGTCGCATGCCAGATATGGGGGGAGCTTCTCCAGGAAAAACGTATTATCTTTAACTGTGACAATGAAGCAGTAGTCAGTATGATTAACACATAACGTTCACGTGCGCCAAAGGCCATGGATCTAATTCGCCGTTTGACCCTGCTAATAATGCAATATAATTTTTACATTCGAGCTCAACACATACCCGGAAAACGAAATGAAATTGCAGACTCTCTCTCTCGTTTTCAGCACCAACGGTTCACACAATTGGCACCTCATGCAGATCCCAACCCATGCTACATCCCGACTTTTCTGCTAACAATTTAAAAAAAGACATTGAAAAATATATCAATTTGGCAGTGGCACCTTCTACCAAACAAACATACAGCTCAGGTGAAAAACGCTTTGTTGAATTCATCCTTTTAGTTAAACGCACTCAAGTCGAACAGTGTCTCCCGGCAACAGAATCTATGCTGACTGAGTTTGTTGTGTACTTGGCTAGAACTATAAAACATTCCTCAATAAAAAATTACCTAGCAGCTGTTCGACATTATCATATTCGCCAAGGTTTTAAGTTAAACTTTCAAAAAATGACACGCCTGCAACTGGTCTTACGTGGTATAAAGAGAGCTCAAGGTGGCCAAATTCGAATACGCTTACCAATAACTATTCATCATCTGCAGTTGTTCCACCTGTTACTATCCATTCCATCTACCAAAAATTATGACTCATTAATGTTCTGGGCTGCAATGACTTTGGCATTCTTTGGTTTCCTCCGTCTGGGAGAACTAACATGTAATTCCAAATTTAATACCGATACCCACTTGACACCAGACAATATATCATTTAATTTTATTCAGGAGACGCAAAAACCCAAATCGATGACAATCTTGATCAAAGAGTCAAAAACTGACCCCTTTCGGGTGGGTCAAACAATTACAATTGGGTCTACTAGCTCACCATTATGTCCAGTTTTAGCTATGAAGCGATATCTTACAAGTCGCAAATCACTCAATGGCCCCCTTTTCGTTCATGCTTCAGGAAAGCCATTGACAAAGCAAGCACTGATAACTGAGACACGATCTCTTCTCACTAAGTCTGGCTTAAATGCTGCTCATTATGCTGGTCATAGCTATCGGATTGGTGCTGCAACAACAGCAGCCTCTGCGGAACTGCCATCCTGGCTAATCAAAACATTAGGACGATGGACATCCGACTGTTATGAACGCTATATCAAAATTCCATTATCAACTCTATCTGGGGTATCAGCCACTTTGACAGATGTGCTAACCGCTAAGTAATTAACCACGTTTCGGGGGGAGGGTTCGTCTATGGGGAATACACATTCTGTGTATTTGTGGGGTTGAAGTCTCCATAAAATGTCAACTTCAGGCCCATAGACTCAATATATGTCACACATAATATATCTAAATCTAAGGACTGTCCATGGGGGGTTACCCCCCATGTTCAGGTTAAGGACTGGCCTTATGGGTTTTGTGCCTTTGGTCAGGTTAAGGACTGTCCATAGGGGTTTTGCGCTCCGATTGGTCAGGGTAAGGACTGTCCATACTGGGGTCTTGTGCTCTAGTTGGTCAGGTTAGGACTGTCCAAGTGAATCTTGGTCAGATTATCAGTGCCAGTTCAGAATCAGTGCAGCTAATAGGGTGTGACATATGAGTTGGCATGATGCTTGTCATATACTGTAAATGGACTCTTCACAACCCCGAACCCCTCTCCCACAAAATAAAGATTTGTGTTTAATATTGTGTTGTCAACTTGGGTCATTAAAGCAAATTTATAGCCCATATAAATTTAAGTTAATGAGACAAGGTGCAATGGTAAGATGAGGAGGAATCCCTGGTTTATATCAACCTAATGCCTGACAGTTTGGTCAAAGATCTTGACATATAGGTCAAAGATCATCTTCTGCCAGCTAGCACGCATTCACGTGCACAAACCGTGAAACTTGCTGTGAACCAATTGAAAACCTTGTACGACTGTGTTCTGCGCTTTGACCAATCATAGGCCATAACACAGCCCATCCTAATTGGCGCATAACATGCACGAGTTCATGCAAAATAATGTAATTTACTCTGAGCCGTCGACAGAGTAACATTATCAAAAAAATTTTCCCACCCACCCACCTCTCCTCTGCTTACCTTGACTGGATTTAAAAAATTAAAAAAAAAACAACAAAAAAAACCCCCTAAAACAAACAGTTAAAGTTTTAATGTTACAATATTAGGGAATGCAGTAATAACATTCTTATGTCTACAATATACCCGTTCCCATGGAAAGATATGGATAGACACGCATTGTATGTATATCGGTATATATAATACAGTAGATGATTATGTACAAAGGGATGCTACGACCGATCTCAAGGACATTCTGAATTGTTGGTAGACTAGCTTATCTAATTCATTGTGGATATTATGGATATTATTGTGCATGGAAAATATTTTGCTTGTAAGTTCTTGTTGAGTAATTCAAATAAAGATTTGTGGTTCGGGTTGAAGTCTCCATAAAATGTCAACTTCAGGCCCATAGACTCAATATATGTCACACATAATATATCTAAATCTAAGGACTGTCCATGGGGGGTTACCCCCCATGTTCAGGTTAAGGACTGGCCTTATGGGTTTTGTGCCTTTGGTCAGGTTAAGGACTGTCCATAGGGGTTTTGCGCTCCGATTGGTCAGGGTAAGGACTGTCCATACTGGGGTCTTGTGCTCTAGTTGGTCAGGTTAGGACTGTCCAAGTGAATCTTGGTCAGATTATCAGTGCCAGTTCAGAATCAGTGCAGCTAATAGGGTGTGACATATGAGTTGGCATGATGATTGTCATATACTGTAAATGGACTCTTCACAACCCTGAACCCCTCTCCCACAAAAATAAAGATTTGTGTTTAATATTGTGTTGTTAACTTGGGTCATTAACATTTAAAATATTAGACAATTAGTCTAGTTCGTAGGTGACTGCATGCCAGGATATGTTCGGGTGGACGACCTGCATGGTAATCAGCTGTACCCGGGTGTTTCTTCTCACATTTGTTTAGGATCTGTTTAGTGCATACCAATGGATCCAGTCTGTATTTACGTCCAATTTATTGTAGAATGTCGTTGAGGTACCGATAAGTTCTCTGATTACAAATTTCTCTATTGTATTTGTTTACGGACGAAGCTTCCACGAGTTCATATTATATGAATAATAGCTATCCAATAAATTCTTTCGGCTCTGCGCTAGCCTGCGTGTCAGGCTTTATGCTTAAAATAGAGCTTGCTAATGAAGTCAGTAAAAAGTTGATTGATGCGAACGAATCGTACGCAAAATTCCCATTGGTCAGAAATAAATAGTCTTGCCTTTTAAGGTAGCATCAAGTTGTTGTTTTATTGTTTACGTAATATGATATCCCATAGTTGTAATTGTACTTTTAATTACTGCCTTTGGCTTTGCTGTCTATAAACACGGTCATGCAATAGCCGTTTTATTATTTAGGATGTAATTCCTGGCCGTTTAATGAAAATTGGAATATTTATTTTCGAGATGTTGGCGGAAAAATTGGCCGTTACTGTCATATTTTAAATTAGCTTTGATAATCTAATTAACAATCGCCGTTTTAATTGGTTGTAATTTTTGTGCATCCAAATCACTGTCCACTTTTTATTGACTTCAGCAGCAGGCTCTATTTCAAGCATATAGAGCCTGACACGCAGACTAGCTCTGCGCTGCGCTCATTGCTTCATTAACGGGTTGGAACAATAGCGAACGTAAGCAATGCTTAACCCAGTTTTCTATATCAACCGTATCGTACCGAAACGTACTGGTGCTCACATTTGTAGATTGAAAAGAGGTTGATAAATCCACGTTCATCCTGGTGTATTCGCGTATCAAAATGAAAAGTTCGTCGCAAGTCAACTTTTTGGCATACTACGGAAGTATTAACCAATCAACGTTTACTAAATTTTGAAATTTAAATTTTTTTTTGATGCACTTCAGTACAGTACGCATGAAGTGGAAAACTGGCTTTCATCTAGTGCAGGGTCGTGAAATGAAACTTCTAGTCTCTAAGGCAAAAGCTACTGTTCGAAACAAAGACGAAGACGTAGAAAAAGAAATTGGAACTACGCGTTTTGGAGATCGATAACGACATTTGTTTGTGATGTCCCTGCAAAAGATTAAGCATTGCTTAAGTTCGCTAATTTCTTACTATAGATGGTTATCAATCAGAAATATTTCAATTAAACACATTTACCAAATTATGTGAAAACAAATTAGAAGATATTGAACGTAACGAAAAGAGATCAATCACAGATTGTTGACCGAACGCATACGTTCTCAACTCATGCCTACATTACCTTTGTCTATTGTCGTCCGTAATTCTACTACAGAAAGTGTGAAAGACTATGGTTAATTAAGAAACAGAACAAGTTTTGCAGTTGGTCGTTATAATCACACTGAATATACCATAATTTTTATTCACTTCAGACGCAGTCTTATTTTTTGTATCCGCCATGTTAATCTCTGTATAAATCTTATAGCAATCACACGTGATTGATAAATAACAAAAATAGTGGCAAAATGTTCCGTCAGTTATTGTCTTGAATTCAAAAATTCATTCAAACACTCCTATGAACCGGTCGTCATTGCGCTTCGGTCTTATTTAATTTATTAACAACAAACCTTAAAAAAAAAGATTACTGAACATCTAATATATCATCCTACATGCTTCTAAACTAAAGAGACATGTATAAATAGAAATTACAGAGTGCTATACTTGCTCTAGGGCAGCTTGTAGTTGAAAAATTACTTGATGTAACCATCAAAAGCACTTGCAAATTAGCGCATATTATTCCTCTTGAAAACATGAATTATTATGGTTTAAAATTAGAAGTAAGCTTCAGTGTTCAGAAAATGTGTTTTCCAATGTAGCCAATACGAGACCTTAATTTTCAAATGAAAAATCGTCTTAAATTTCTACTTTACTGCATGCAGTGACAACTATTTCAATATTTATTTAAAATACAAATAAATGAGATAGATTTCTACAACTAGGTTACTCCAGAAAACTTAGCATCAATGTAATATGGAAGAACTATTATGTTATTTTGAGGTAACTGCGCAGCTCAAGTGAGTCAAGTCATACTATTTTCTCCGACCCAACGACGCGGAGCGCCGTTCCGGGCGTAAGCCTGGGATGAGGGTATTAGCTCCGCCTGGATATTTACACCCAGGGAAATGAAAGCATTAACGAAGTCTAAACTACTGGTGGGTGGTCATCCTCACTGATCTCATAATGTAGCGGACTGTCATCAACAGCGAACACTGATTGGTCCGATTAAAAATTTGCATTATAAGGACTGCTTAACGACAGCGAAATAGCAAACATTTCTTGATTTGATGATTTCTTGCAAATATATTTCATTTTTGCAAGATTTTGTAAATTTCAAAAGCTTTTTGAGAAAAAAAAAGACGAAAGAATTGCTAAAAGAAGGGAGCAAAGGCGCTGACGTTAACGAATGTAAGTTTGTTTTGATGTATAGTTTAATGTATAGTTTTCTTTATAATTGCTTTAAAAGCTGATCGTTGCGTATATTTTAACTGATGAAAAAAGACAGCATATAATTTCAGTGTATCTTTATTGATTACTCTTTTTTTTATCAGATTAAATTTTTTAAATAAAAAAGAAAGCAAAGTTATTTGCACGCGAGAATTTGGAATCATTTTATTTCAAACTCAAAATTTATCGATAAAGGCAGTTTAGTTTTATAAAGAACATTTTAAAACGTTTTGCATGGTAAGTAGTTTTGAAACCTTTTGTTAGGGATAGGTGAAAGCGCATGAGCTGACGCACTCATTAGTATAGGTAATCATGCGATGGCGAGTACAATTAGGGATTAATAGTACAAGTGATGTTTGGAAATTTTGCCAAAATTGGACGAGCCGCCGTGGCGGGTCCAATTTGGCAAATTTCCAAACATCACGAGTATTATTAATCCCTAAGTGTACGAGCAACATCGCATGATTACTTGTTTATTATCAGCATGACAAAATTGGATACTTCTCAATGCTTCTCAATGTCGACATCATATATTCTCTCGCCAAAGGCCAGTCCTGCCAGACTTTCAACCAAAATTTGGTGCTTTTGTCCATATTTTCATTTAGTTCTTTTGTTAAAGCAAACTTTTGTGCTTTTGTTCGTATTTTCACCTAGTTCCTCTAGGGCAATTTCATTTCACGCTTGTGTTTAAAATACCTTTCCGCCATTTTGTTTGTTTTGGGAAAATCATTAATTGAATGAAATAATTGTACTCCTCTCAACCAATGAGCATCCAGTAATTCTGTCATGCTAATAATAAGATATAATGAGTGGTTACGCTATCAAAGTTTCTAGTCTTAATAACGTTATTATTATGTAACCAAGTAATTGAGCCATATATGCACCATGTCATAACAGGACGCTTAATAAAACTTGAGAAATTTATGCAAGATAATCATTAATAAGCTAGGAGTTTAGTATTTCATCACAGTGGCAATCGCTTTTTAATTGGCGTCCCATGTTAGCATCGTTACAAATTTTCCAAACATTTGATCTAAACACAGTCTTTTAATCGACAACGAACACAGTGGGTTCTCTTGCTAGATCACTTTGGTATTGAACTATACGTAAGATTTAAAAAAATGGCATCTTTCTTTCCAAGATAAACAATAAAATTGACTAAAAATACTTTCATTCATGGCTTGCGTAATAAATGAGCCTTGGGGAAACTGTAGGGATCCTCCTTATGTTAATGTTAACATATTTTCCGATCAATCAAATAGCTATGAATCTCATGGTTTTGTTTCCAATTCTGCTGTCGCCATTTTTTCAATTTGAAGTTTCGTTGCAGACAGCTTTTCCCGACCAGTTTATCAAACGGAAATTTGGTCAAAAGCCCCGCTGCATCGTATCAGTTCATTGTTCTAATTTGAACATCAACACATAAATTTTTGGCTAACTTGTCACTCAATATTTTTTATGTTTTATCTTTTTAATTCAAACACCCAAGATTATGTCAAATATTGCAGAGTAATGCGCATAATGAGACCTCATGGGTGGAATTTGTTGCGGAGTTTTCCGTGTTCTGGCCTGTATTTTATTTTGAAATCAAGATCATTACAGGCGCTTATGAAAATGTTAGATGCACTTAAGGTGATTTATTAGTTTCGCATTGCGCATTTTTACTGCGCATGTCTAATAACAAATTCTAGCTAATATATGTAGCCGAACAGCAATGTAAAGTATAACAGAAAGAGTATAAGGGCAAAGAAAAAAACCACTCAGCATTTATTAGGCGTGCTTCAGGAAATAAACCTTCAAAAATGGTAACGCAACTAACACTAAACTCCAACATCATGTTTGCATGTTTAACCCTCGTATTTAGATCGGTGACCATACTTTTAATTTATATTCGTGTTCTTCTATACGTTTTACATTTCATATCAGAAAATAAGAGAAATCCATCTTTTCAACCTTTACGTCAACGATCTTCAAAATGATTTACCTGCAGGTGCTTCCAATACGCCGATGATACAACAGTTTACCGTAGTTATACCCCTAAAAACCTCAGTCAATGTGTGCAAGAAATGAATGACAACATACAAACTCTCGAAACTTGGGCCACAGAATCCAATCTCTTGTTGAATGAAAATAAGACTAAGCAGATGCTCATAAGCACTCGACAGATGTCAAGAACTCACAATCTCGGAGACATCACGCCACCTCTTACCATTAAGAATCAATCCCTTGAGAGAGTTGAAAATTTTAAATTACTTGGTACGTGGCTTAGTGAGGATCTCAAATGGTCACATCATGTAAAGGAACTTGTCTCGTCTTGTTATGGAGTACTTTCAACTTTGCGCAAAATTCGGAATATGACACCCCAACATACTAAAAAGCTATTAGCAGAAAGTCTTGTACTTTCTAAGCTAAACTTTAATGATGTCGTTTGCTATCCTCTCCCCGCATACCTACAAAATAAAATGCAACGTGTGCGAAACGCTGCTGCCAGCTTCGTCACCAATCGTTATCGTTCTGAAAAAGATGCTTGGATGGCTTCCAACCATGGAGAGAACTCAATTAAACCTCCTCATGCATACTCATCGAGCAATTTACAACAAGGCCTCTTGGTCTGAGTATTTAACCCTGAAAGTATATAACTCTGGAAGAACGCTACGCTCTAATGCAGCACCAAGATTGTTGATTCCATCAATAAAAGGAACTTTTCAGGAGACAACAGCGAACTTATAAATATATATATATATATATATATATATATATATATATATATATATATATATATATATATATATATATATTTATATATATATATTAAGGTGAAAATGTTCTAGAGTGTGTATTATATAATTTCCATACCCAGCGCAAGCAGAAAGATGTTGTCTATATATATATATATATATATATATATATATATATATATATATATATATATATATATATATATATATATATATATATATATATATATATATATATATATATATTGGGTACTTATAATGTAGAATAATGAAAAAAAAATTCTCGAACTCAAATTTTGTAAACCAAGGGGGGTCCAATAAACAATAAATGGCCTGCGCACGAAATTTAAAAAGCTTTAATCGTATTTTGAGTTAATGGATGGAAACGTTGTTGGGTTTTTAATTAATGTACAAAATTTCAGACAATTTTCTTTAGTTTAAGCCTTTCGCATGCTTAATTAATGTCTTTACCTAATTTGCATATTGCTGACATAAGCAAATTAGGCAAACGCATAATTAGGCATGTGGAAGGATGATTTTTTAGGGAAAAATGTAAGTTTGCATGAACAGTTAAAGGGATTAAACTAAAGAAAATTGTCTGAAATTCTGTACAGTAAATAAAAACCCAACAGCGTTTCCATCCATTAACTCAAAATACAATTAAAGCTTTTAAATTTAGTGCGCAAGCCATTTATAGTTTGTTGGAAAAAACACACACCCCTGGTTTACAAAATTTGAGTTCGAGATTTTTTTTTCATTATTCTACATTATAAGTACCCAAAGAAACTATATATATAAAAAACTGGATACTAATAGCTGTTTTGCGAAATTGAGACCCTGTATAGTGATTATATACAGGAAAACATGGTATTTTAGCGAATCAAAAACCATTGACGTGCAATGGTTTTTGATTCGCTAAAATACCATTTTTTCCTGTATATAATCACTTGTGAAAAATCAATAACGGTTGAGCAATTGCGATTGTTGTTGTAATTGGTAAAACGGTCAAGATGGCGTCGTATGGGGGAAAAGGGCCAATATAAAATTAATTACACATGTGATATCTTCGAAACGAGTTCGGTGACCCCAACTTTTTTCTATTTTTACTATGAGCATATCATAAACTTCATGCCCGAGACGTTTCCGCAAATTCTCATTAACACAACAATTAATGAATCAAGCAAGTTTATACATGCCCATATCATTATAAACTTAAGTTAAAGAAACAAGCATTCGGACAAGAGTAAAGTTGTGCAAAGTCACCTGGAGTACAAAGTTCTGGTACAAAGGTCAATATGTGAACCATGTGATCATACACGTGCATAGCGCAAGGCTGAATTAACAACAAACCATTGGCAAATCTCTTCCCATGCGTGCGGGAAATAAACCAATCAGGTATGGTTTCACCATTTCGTCTGCATAGTTTCCTGCTTCGATCAGTAAGCCTCATTGTGTCACTTGCAAGCAGAAGTGTATGACCTCTGCGGCAAAATATTTTCTGGAAATTAAAACATATCCCAATTGTTGGCCATATTTCTGCGAGAATATGCCTTCTGTTCGACGCCAAGATGTGACAACGTGACATGACAACGCGCGGAGACAAATATCGGCCAATCAATTAACAATGTCTGGTTACCGAAAAATTGACTTGGTGTAGAGCGGTAAAGAATTACGGGCGGCCCCTGAATTGAGGCAATGTAACAGCAAAGAGTTTATGAACGCTGGAAAAGATATTTAATATAAAACGACGGCCAGCGACGCCGTATGATTCAGTGAGACGCAGTTTATTCAAGTATTACTACCGCGAGCAAGTGCTTTTACTCTTCTGGTGGACAAAGGAATACGTTGCCTCAAGTACCGATGTATGATTCAGCGAGACGCAGTTTATTAAAATATAACTCTACCGCGGGCAAGCGCTTTTACTCTTCTGGTGGACAAAGGAATACGTTGTCGTTGGCTCAAGTACCGATGTATATGATTCATTGAGACGCCATTTATTTAAATATAACTCTACTGCTGTCAAGCGTTTTTACTCTTCTGGTGGACAATGGAATACAGGCTCAAGCACCGATGAAGTTATTACCATTTAATGAAACCGCCGCTGAGGGATCATAACAAGATTGAGAGGCTAAACACGAACAAGCGTCATTTGATATCATTCCGTGTATCAATGTCTGCACATGCTTAAGTGAAACGGTTATATTTGGCGCGTAAAGCCGGTTTTCCACTTCAAGCGTACCGTACCGAAACGTATCAAAAACGTTTTCAAATTTCAAAATTTCGTGAATGTTGATTGGTTAGTACTTCCGTAGTACGTCAAAGTGTTGACTTGCGACGAACTTTTTATTTTGATACGCAAATACACCCGGAAGTATGTGGACTTATAAACCTCTTTTCAATCTGCGCATGCTCACCAGTACGTTTCGGTACGATACGGGCGAAGTGAAAAACCGGCTTAAGTATGTGGTGAATGTAAAATACGAAGATGTTTGCTTCGCATTCCGCTTTTCAAACCAACCAAAATGCTTTAACTTCGTCTATTTTATTACAGAACTTGGGCACAGTAATTGTCGAACACAAAATGTATCGACTATTCACGCTAAATCGATTTGTATTTCAATGTCAATTTTATTACAACCTTAAGGTTATTAACCTGCCAGATTCGGCGTTGGATTGCGTTCCAATAAAGCGTCACAACTCTTTCACGGCATGACCCTATTAACGTAATACACTGCTGTAATACGACTGTGCAGATTCATATCTTCGGTTCGGTGTATGCTATGTAGATGCAAATACCACTGCTAGATCCGCCGTTACAAAATATCTTATCAGACCTAATTTTATTTGTTTACGATGCAACTGAAGCGATTTATCCTCTTTTAAATCCTTAATATATGTATTTTTTTAAAAACGTACCGGATGTTGATCGCAACAAACGTGTCTTCAACTTTGGTAGGCTATAACTTCGCTCGATTGAAAGCTTTCGAGACAGCAATACCACCTTTAGAATCCTTGTATCAAAATCTCGTTTCGTCCTACATTTCGTAAGATTACGAAATAAACAATAACATTTATGGGCATTTTCGGAATTGCACGTTCGCCGTGACGCGATCGTAATTCGCCGGCAAACTTCGGACTTACAAATCTCTGGGATCCTTTCACCACACGGATTTAAAACCCTCGGCAATCGATTCCTCATGATGTAATTGACTAGTATCGTGAATTTCATTGGTTTACGGCAAAATCCGTGCCTAATTTGGCATTTTTTGTATTATAAGTGACGTGCGCACCAACGACCGCGTTGCCATCTTTCCTGATCTTTTATCTTGAAACATGGCTGCAAACACGCTCAACTTCGATGCGGTTTTAGACTTATTAAACAATGAAAATAATAACTCAGTGGTGGTATATCGTCGGATGAAGAAGAAGACTTGAACACACTTTTGGATATATAGACACAAATATCGAGGGTTAGAATTTATCGATCAAAATGTGTGAGCATGACGCTGCGCACGTCGCATACTTGGGGCATTTAAAAATTAGTTCATGCCTTTTTGCTTTATATAGCAAGATAACACTATGTATCAGTGTGCTTATACTATTTACTTACTTCTGGGTGCATTTAAAAATTAATTAATTCATGCATTCTTGTTTTATATGAAGCAAAATAACACCATGTATCAGTATGCTATTATATATATACTAAGGGAAAGGGCCAGGGCTGGAAGGGCCAGGGCTGGTGGTACTCCCAATACTAGTACGTAGTAAGTCGTATAATGATGCGGACACTAGGAATGACCTCCCTCCCTTTCAACCAAACCGTCCGCAGGGAATTCATTTTGGTAGGCAAGTCTTGCGGAGATGTATGACAACTGCGTTAGAGTTTTTTCGTCTCTTCTTCACCTCCGAGATGATAAGATCAGTTGTTGCCCACACCAACAGCTACGCATACATGAAACTTGTAGCTGGGGGGTATACTACATACACCACTTCGAAGGGGGCTTGGAAAGAAATGACTGATGATGAAATAAATAATTTGATTGCTCTTTTGATTTATTTTGATCTGGTACGTGTGGACTCAGCCGTTGAAAAGTATTGGAGCACAAAGACCCTTTACCACGGTCTCTGGGCAAGGAAGCTACTTTCCCGTACCCGTTATAAAGCCCTTATGGCATTCTTGCATGTGGTAGATCTCGACGTCGAGCAGCCTGGCGATAAACTGCGCAAGGTTGAGGAATTTCTTGCGGCATTCAAAAACCTTTGCCGTATGTCATACCAACCGAGCCAGAATATTGCTGTGGATGAGCGTATGGTCAAGTCTAAACATAGGTCGGGCATTAGGCAATACATGAAAAATAAGCCTACAAAGTGAGCGATAAAACTCTGGGTGTTGGCAGATAGTTTGAATTGGTTTACTTTCGATTTCAATGTTTATATAGGTAAGTTGGAGCATTAAGAACCATCGGGTAATGGTCTTGGTTATGATGTGGTGATGAAGTTGGTGGATCCATATTGAGGCAGGGGTATCATGTATTTTTGATAATTTTTACATCTCCTAAGTTAGTTAAGATCTGTTTTTGCATGTGATCACATCATCAGGCACATGTAAAACTAACAGGGAGGGTTCTCCAAATCCATGAGGAATGTGAAAGTGTGGGCAAAGAAGTTGAAGCGAGGAAGCATGCGATGGGAACGGGAATCAGATGTGTTAGCCCTCCAATGGGTTGACAACAAGCCTGTTTCCTTGCTAACATCAATTGATTCCGCGAATGACACAATGCCTGTGACGAGAAGAACAAAGACGAGAGGTGTGTATGACAAGGTAGAATTAGTCCAGCCCTATGCATTATATATATGTAATTAGTACATGAATGCAGTAGATGTATGCTTGCATGTCATAATGTATCCCGTAAGTGTTATAGATGGTGGAAGACTTTATTCTACCACTTAGTAGATATTGCAGTTGTTAACGGTTTTCTTCTTTTTCAGCAGCATCGTGCTAGTGATCCGGACAATCCAGATTTGCATCGTAGGTCTACTTATAATATACTTGATTTTAGGGAGGAGGTTAGTTAAACAGATTACCGGGTTAGAAAAGTACGATGTACCCCTGTAAATGAGACAGTACAAGCTGCTCCTCGCCATGATCAGTTATGTATTGTCCATATTCCTAAGACGGCTGAGAAGAGGAGGCATTGTGTAGTTTGTTATGAGAAAAGATTAGGGCAGAAGCCGGTCTATACTTATTGTAGTGCAATAATAGACATATGCATGTAGGTTCTGGGTTTGATTGTTTTGAGGTATGGCATAATAGGGATTATACTGGTAAGAAGATATGATTACGAGTATTTCTGCTTTTGCTTGTTTAGGTAGTATGTTCACGATCATGTACAATATCAAATTTGTCAAACGAATGAAATTTGTATCATATTTTTCCATTATGATTACAGTTCAAAGTTTGACAAACATTTCATTTTCTAATAAAATTTTCTTTACTATTTGTGTTACATTCCTGTATGTTCAATGTAATTATTTGCTTTATCATTAAAAATTGAAAGAAGTGTGTTGTGGGTGAATTTGTAATATCATGCGAAGTAGCATTTCAAGCAGCGTCTTTCAAAAACCTTTGTGTGCCTGTGCAAACTGTTTCTTTTACCTAATCAATTGGAAAATTGTTCCTTGAACTGGCAGAACATAAAGGTGTCAGCTGCTTTAAAAATTATATTGTTGTACACATTTTTTGTTTTTCATGGAGGTCGAATTTCCAAGTTGAGTTCCCGAGTTGCTTAGAACCTTCACTTCGACAAATGATAGCAGGATCCCACTCGAGAAAATGAGTGGGGCAGGTTAAATTCTAAAAGGCCACTACTACCACTATGTAAATATATATCTAGACGAGGTTCTGGCATGGTTACAAGATCAGAGACATGTCAATGGAATCTAAGGCAAGATTCTGCTATTTCTAAAGGGTGAATTAAAAAAAAATTTCCGGGGATTTTGAGTATGGAAAATGTCAGTGGTAGGAATTGATATGGGTGACTGTCAAATAAACAAGAAGTTGTTCTGCAAAGACCTTGGCGCGCTGAAAATTGGAGAAATATCAGCCAGTTATTTTTTTCGATATTGGCGTTCGTTGGCGGTACCCTCACCAAAGAAGATAAAGTCACATGAGCGTGGGCGAGACGTTTGCACAAACTTCCATTCGGGGTGTTTTGTGTCATCAAAGCTTTGCAAATTAACGAGTTGGACGTTACCATTGCACGGCCTTGTGGATTGCATTTAATTCACACACATTTGTTGCACCGTTGTTTGTATATGTATACTTATTTTATAATTCAATCGATAATTCGAACATTAATCACTAATACAATGTTTTATTCTCCTGCTGTATAAAACAGGCAATTGGAATATGTTAATTCATGTTTTGGGTTAGAATATTTTCATTTGGTTTATGTTTAACTAATATTCCATTGACGATATG